GATTAAGTTTTAATGTTTTCATGGTTTGAAGAGATCCATAAATTCATATCCCCCATAAAATGTAAAATTACATACTGCAGACTGATGTTTCTCCTATATTCACAAAATCCCCTTAAACAAGTCTTTTTTCCTTAAACCACGAAAATTTGACCTCGCAAAATAAGTCATTTTACAGTATGTAACTGTACAGTAAAGTTCCGTGTTTAACCCTTACATTGTAAACATTTTTTTTTAAAACAACATGCTGAATTTAGTTGTGCCCTTGTTAGATGTGTATATATGTATTTGCTCAATCTAATACATGTTCATGTAATATGAAACAAACATGGTTAATTATAAAAGCCATTGAAAAATACCTAATAAATATAGATGTTCTAAAATGTTTGAATTAAAATTTTATCATCTGACAATCACCTTTAAAATATAACCTGAATCGACTTAGTATACATTTTTCAAATCAGTGCATCATTTTTATTTTTTGTCCAAGGATATACTGTAAATGTATTATGTTTAGCATGTACGATATTTGGTGGAAATTGATTTTTGAACAAGTTAGCGTAGATTTGATTTAGTGCATTCTTAATGTTCTTATCTATGTATATCAGTGCAAGACATTTAGCGTTGTACTTGAATTAGTGGAAGTTTCTTTCCGCCAAAAACGCTAAAAAGAATACACAGCCAAATGTAATACGTTTACAGTAAATGCTTTACTGCTTTTTACTGACTTAAATACATGGAAATGTTGAGATACTGTCTGTATTGATTGTCATTATTGTCTGCTCAAGAGAAAATCATCTTTTAGGAAATTCTCTATAAATATGTAAAGAAAGTTTACAATTCAAACTTCCTTTTCTACCATATTCAACACATTAAGGGCAAACTCTCTGACAATACTGTATACAGGGTTATTTTTGCCCTCTCACACTTCCAAACCAATTTTGCCCCATTTAAAATTTGCCCAGACACAGTTTTCTTTAACAGATAATACTGTCTTCTTTTAATTCACCCAGTTTCAAATTCATCCACTTGTGAAGAGGGGAAAATAAAATGGGGGCAAAAATTTCCCTGTACATACATTATCAATTTTGTCAACATCAATAATTAGAAGTAGCTACCAGTAGTAATTTTAAGATCAACTGAGCTATGGAGACAATTAAGAAGAGGTGCACTGTACTTAAATCTTATATCAAAGGGTCTCGTTAATATTTCAAATGAAGTTTGAGATTACCTCTGTAAAAGGACACCCAATATCTAGACAAAATGTTCAAATTTCTGAAGGGCTGGAATTTTTTTAATCATATCAATTGATGTTTTATGGCTTTGTTTAATTTTTTTTTTAATCATATGTACATTGATGTTATTGCTTTGTTTAGTTGGTTATCAAAATATTTTTTTCAGAAATTATTCATGTATTTTAATTCTTTTTTTTCTAAGGAAGATAACAGAAACAAATATACTGCTTGCCTATGACCCAAGTCATGCACTTTTTTCATGTTTACTTTACTGTATATATACCTTACTGTATGTTTTACATTTGTCACTTAGCCGGTGACAGAAAATTCTATATTAAATTGATACAACATATACTACCAGTCTTTCTCTTTTTTCTCTGCAATTGTCATTGAACATATCTGATGCAGGTATCCACTTGTCTCTGGATTAAAATAATGCAAAGAAACCAAGCCTTGAGCGGTTTTAAAAGTTTATAAGTATGGCTTGGTATTTTTTTAAAGGGGGTGGGGGTAAGAATTTTTTTTACAAACATAGCTGTAAACAAATGTCTTTCTACTAAAGGGAGATCATTTACCATCAACTGCACAGTAGCAAACTGATGAAAAAATTTAAATGTATTCTAAAGAGTATGACTATACCATAGTAAAACTTTAAACCCTTCACTGCATTATGTATATAAATTTGCATTTCCTAGACATATGTTTATATCGTTTTGATTTCATTCATTTTTTAAAATACGTCCTATATTTACATACATGTAAGACCTGAAGTCTCAATATCTATGCAGGAAACTGTTTACTTTAATTAAACTGATACATGTATTCTTTGAATCTTTTAACACTTGACAGTTGTTTTTGTGATGGGATTCAGCTTTGTCACAGTTGGTTCGTATGAGGCATCCGGCAAATGTAACTATAGGCTTACTCTGACAGCTTTACATAAATCTATTATGTTAATAAAGACCAAGGAACCTCTTGAAAGGAATTTATTTTATTATACCGTTAAATGGTGAATTAACTTCCAGTCAATGTATCGTCATTCTCAATTATCCCATATTTTTAGGAATGATTTTCCTGCTTATTTTCATTATAACAACAAATTCACATACTGCGATCTGCCTCCCTGTTTTCATTACAAATGTCCATTACAAAGTGTCAGTCACCTGCATTGCGCAGTGGTAAGAGCGTTTCCTCTAGAGTCGTAATGTAAGGAGTAGATCCTTACGTCGCATGTTCAAATCCACTGCGGGACGTGGAGGCCGGTCCTTTGGATGAGACCGTATAAACAGAGGTCCTGTGTCGCAGTAGGTGCTGGCACGAAAAAGATCCCTCACTGCTCAATGGCCCTGAGTGCCAAGTATATGTAAAAAATTTGCAACCCGCCACCGGCAAGTGGTGGCATCTCCATATGACTGAAAAATTCCCGAGAGGGACGGTAAATAACAAACAAAGTGTCAAATTTCCAGCAGGGTTCACCAGTAAGACTTGTCTCTGTCTAGTTTATTTTGTGATTGGACAAGTCAGTCTCCACAAAAACTTGGATCAGACAAGTCTACCTCATACATTAGTTCATTCAATTGTTAGGTAATAAAAAAAAATCAATAAATAATAAATCATGCGCCTTTACGTAGGTCACAAGTTTGACGACAGAACATGAAACTTCCTGATTACTTCTTTTAAATATAATACATTTACAGTATTTTGGAATAAGATTTCTATACTTCAGTGAAATACACATGAAAACACACACATTCTTCTAAAATTTTCCAATATTATCAGCAGTGCTCCAAGTTGCAACTAAAATGGTCGCATTTGTGACCAAAAAATTAATTTTGCAACTGGAAATTAAAACTAACTCGCATTTTTGCGACTGAGAAAATTTGGGCTGGTGATTGTCAATTTTTATGATCGGGATCGATATTACTTTTTTGCCAGGATTCTCTATCAAGAAAATGTTTGAAGACATTCCTAAAACTTTGTTAAGCGTCGCAAAGACTGAGATTACATAATGATATGCCAGCTTGCAGTACAGTCAACAGACTGGCTGTCAAAATGTAGCATTCTTTATAAAACCCGATCTTGTTAATTGCTTGAATATCATCATGTTTTGGCAATATGGACATCAACTGTTTAATATGTTAGGTTCATAAAATAAACATAACAAACAGCTGACGAAGTCAGATCTCAATAGTTGAAACTTATACATGCATCAGTCAAACTTGCTGCAATTTCATTTGAATTAATTTTAATTCTAGGATAAAACACTTGTGTTCTTTGTTGTACAACCATACTGGTGGTTCTATGAACTAATATTTCATAAGTGATTTCTTCAGCCTAGCAAATTGTTAAGTCACAGTAATACCTGGTAAGTAATCTTTGATAAATTTAAAAAAGACATGATATGTACATAAATGAGTGTTGTTCCTTCCTTTTACTATAAGCTACATGTAAATGTGTTTTCACAAAATGTTTTCACCATGACAAGTGAAATATTTGTTGATGGCAACCAGAAATTCTGAAATGGCGACCAAAAAAAATTTTAGGTCGCCATTTAGCGACCTGGTAGGAAGTGTGACTTGGAGCACTGATTAGTCCTTAAATTCTCTTAATAATTACCCTGATTTTAAAGGGTTTTTTAAATTTATAATTAAGCATGCATGATACCGATTTAACAAAGACTAGAAGTATGTCCATAGGACATGAATGCCCCGCCGAGGGTATATTAGTAATGCAACATGAAAATTTGTATTAGTGCATGAAATTTGATGAGAATATCTTGAATAGTTTCTTTAAAATTGAAATTGAAATCTAAAAAGTTGGATATAGATGATAAATTCTCGCCAAATTATGTATAAGTGCATAAACTTACATAAATATATCTTAAATGGTTTCTTTAAAATTAAGCAAAATGCAAATCTAAGAAAAGTGAGGTCAAGGTCACAGGAAAGTTCAAGGTCAAATGTTTTTGATGCAGTTGAATACTTCTCACAAATATGTATCAGCATATTTAAGTTTGATAAAAATATTTTGAATGGTTTATTTAAAACTGAGCTAAACAATAATTTAAAATAAATGAAGTTAAGGTCAAAGGAAAGGTCAAGGTCAAAAAATGTTAATGCAGTTGAAAAGGTTACATCAGTATGTATTAGCATATGAAGTTTGATAAAAATATTATGAATGTTTTGTTTAAAACTGAGTTAAACACATATTGAGAAAAGTGAGGTCAAGGTCAAAGGAAAGGTCAAGGTAAAAAAATATTGATGCAGTTAAATAGCTTTCATCAGTATGTATCAGCATATGAAGTTTGACACTAATTTAAGAAAAGTGAGGTCAAAGTCAAAGGAATGGTTAAGGTCAAAAAATGTTCATGCAGTTGAATAGCTTACATCAGTATGTATCAACATATGAAGTTTGATAACACTGTATTGAATGGTATCTTTGAAACTGAGCTAAACACTAATTTAAGAAAAGTGAGGTCAAGGTCAAATGAAAGGTCAAGTTCAAAAAATGTTGATGCAGTTGCATAGCTCTCATCAATATCTATAAGCAAATGAAGTTTGATAAAAATATCTTGGATATTGTTTTTGAAACTTAGCTTTGAACAGAGCTAAACACAAAGTGTGATGGAAGGACAGACGGAAGGACAGAAGGATGGAAGGACGGAAGACGGACGTGACAAACACTATATGCCCCGACCATATTCATGGCGGGGCATAAAAAAACTCTCTATTTAAAACATAATTTGTCACATAGTATCTGCAGAGTTACCTCCCATGGCCAAAGTCCTGACATTGTAGCAGCAATATCTGGTGTCGTCTCCTTCTCCACAAGTCCATGAACCACTTTTTGGATGTAATTTCTCAGAGTTAGTGCTGTTTCAAGTTCTTTGGTTAAGTTCACTTTTTTTACTATTAGTTCAACTCTAGCACTGAAAATCAAATAAAATTTGTTGCATATTAAACAACTTTTGCAATATTTTTTTTTCAAAACTTTTGCACAATCCTGTAGCAGATTTGTACATGTATAACAATTTAACAAATATATAATGGAAAAATTTTATGAGAATTAAGAATTATTTACAAAGTTGTAAATCTAATCTTTATGGTCCTGGGCCAGGCTCCGGGGCCATAAAACTTAGATGAGCTCACTCTTGATCTCAGTCTCACTTTTCCACTAACAATTCCTTATGTAAAAGTGAGACTGGGGTCGAAAGTAAGCTCGTCTAAATTTTATTGCCTAAGTACCAGAAATTTCCCCAATGTAGCTTTCATTTACAATCAAACTATTCTAAATTTTCAAAGAACTTAATTACTCTGTAGGTTCTGTCATGTTTGTAGTGTAGACGATATTTCTGAGGAAACCCCTGGAATCATTGAGGGTAACATAGATAGGTTCGCTCAGCTCTGTCAGCCAAGCCTTGGGTACCTCTGTCTCATCCCTAGTCTCAACCTGTATACACACTCCTCTCTACAAAGGAAAAGACTTTTTAAATTTTTAAAAACTACACACTTTGAATCAGTGACAAAAGCTCTGCTGCAAGTTTTTTCCTTCTCTTTTGAAATTTGTGATGTGTAAATGATTTCATACGACACGAAAGACTTACTGTGCAATCCTTGTTGGGATGAAGATCTGCCTTTGCTTTGTTGTATTTTTTTAATCTCTGACGAGCTGTCTGGAGAATTTCTTTTTCAATCATATCCTTTTCTCTCACAGAAGAGTTTACAGTGGTATTTTTTCCACAAGCTAGATTAAACTGCAATATTCTCCTAAAACATAACCAAAAAATTGCTTGATTTTCCTTTTCATACACATTATTAATTAAATGTATTACATTCAAAATGCAGGTCAAATTAATATTGCTTCAAAGCTGTGATAAAATCATCAATTTCTTCCATTAAAATTTTGACAGAATTTATATTTTCAACATAAATCGTAATATTCATGCAATGAAAGGAAACAATGTCTTTAAATAAACTCCTAAACATGAAATTAACAGAATGAGACCTTGTTAAAGGAATTGTATATTGAAAACAATACTAACTGGTCATGAATACACTTCTCTGAGCAGAGAGGAAGGTTCTTGTAATGTCCTCCACTACACCAGTTGCATCCCTTTGTTGCCTGACATTCTGCTGATCCAGAACTAACAAGAGGCCCATGGGCCTTGAATCGCTCTTCTGATAAACTGTACAACCTATCACTTCTATTTGAAGCCTCAAAGTATCCTGTATATTTACATAAACCCTTGAAATTCCAATTCACACTCTGAGAACCCAAGATGATTCTAAGCCAATTAGTACCTGAGAGTTGGTCATGGTGACCTACTTATCACTTGTCATTCTCTGAGGACCCATCAACTAAGTTTGATGATTCTAAGCCAATTAATACCTAAAATATTTTTTAAAATTATAATCATATAATTTTATAAGTAGGTCAAAGTGACCTACTTTTCAATTGTTGTACTCCAAGGACCCAAGACGCATCAACTGACAAAGTTTATTGATTCTAAGCCAATTAGTACCCGAAAATATTTGATTAAAGCCATAAATTTTCAAAAGTAGGTCACCGTGACCTACTTTTCAGTTGTTGTACTCCGAGGACCCATGACGTCTAAACTGACAAAGTTTTATGATTCTAAGCCAATTAGTGCCCGAAATATTTTATTAAAGCCATAAATTTTCCGAAAGTAGGTCACGGTAACCTACTTTTTAGTCGACCTACTCCGAAGACCCATGACGCATCAACTGACAAAGTTTGATGATTCTAAGCCAATTAGTACCCGAAATATTTAATTAAAGCCATAAATTTTCAAAAGTAGGTCACGGTGACCTACTTTTTAGTCGATCTACTCTGAAGACCCAAGATGCATCAACTGACAAAGTTTGATGATTCTAAGCCAATTAGTACCCGAAATATTTAATTATCGCCATAAATTTTCAAAAGTAGGTCACTGTGACCTACTTTTTAGTCGACCTACTCTGAAGACCCAAGATGCATCAACTGACAAAGTTTGATGATTCTAAGCCAATTAGTACCCGAAATATTTAATTAACGCCATAAATTTTCAAAAGTAGGTCACTGTGACCTACTTTTTAGTCGACCTACTCCGAAGACCCAAGATGCATCAACTGACAAAGTTTGATGATTCTAAGCCAATTAGTACCTGAAATATTTAATTATAGTCATATAAATTGAAAAGTAGGTCACGGTGACCTACTTTTCAGTTGACCTTTTTTGAGGACCCAAGATGCATCAACTTACAAAGTTTTATGATCATAGGACTTAAAATGCTTTGAAATCGAATGCCTGCAAAGTTCAAAAAGTAGGTCACTGTGACCTACTTTTTAATAAATATGTTTTATGGCTCCAAGATGCATCATCTTACAAGATTTAATGATTCTAAGCCTCCCCGTATTCGAATTAATGACCTTAATTGTTTTAAAAAAGATTAGCCATAAAATTCAAAAAGTAGGTCAAGGTGACCTACTTTTTAGTTGACGTAATTTGAGGACCCAAGATGCATCAACTGACAAAGTTTGATGATCATAGGCCTTAAATTGTTCAAAATATGCCTCTAAATCATTTTGAAAAAGAATGGCCGCAAAATTTAAAAAGTAGGTCACCGTGACCTACTTTTGAGTCAACATGATATGAGGTCCTTAGATGCACCAACTGACAAGATTTGATGATCCTAGTCCTTATAGTAAGCAAAATATCAACATTTTAATAAAATGTAATTTTTGGTCAACTTTGAAGTGACCTTGAGACCACGCCCTTTGCCCCAGGGTAAATCCCCGTGCAAATTTTAATCTACAACATATCCTCATCCTTTTGTGTAAGTTTGGTGATAATCTGCCCAGTGGTTCTTGAGAAGAAGATTTTTTAGCAACCAGTACTTTTGTTTCTATTTTCCTAATTATCTCCCCTTGTTAAAGGGTCACAACCCCAGTTTTAGTATAAAAGGGAGCCCTTGGGCCAAGGATACCCTGTGACAAATTTGACAATAATTGGCCAAGGGGTTCTTGAGTTATGGCCCATATTCTAAAAAGTTTACGCACACCGCACAAATGGCCATAGCATTAGCTCTTTGAGCCTTTGGCTCAGAAGAGCTAAAAATAACCATTTAAGGGAGAACCTGTAACTAGAGACTTACATACATATTGCTGAGAAAGGGCAATAACTCATGCTGCCGCCATCCCATCCTCATAAACTGATTGTAACAAATTTCAGCATTTGTAATCATTGTTTAATAATAGAAGTAGGTAAATGATTTAGTAGACAATTTGAAATTATAAGTACTTCTGAATAATAATAAAAGTCAACCTGATACTGTATGCATTCTCAAAAACTCTGGAAACACTTGAAAAATACAAATATGTACCCATGTCAATTTATATCCATCAAACAGGTAGACTTACATGGCTGTACAGACAGGTTTACAAGGCCTTACATTAATGGATTTATTTTCCTTGTCTGAGGACTGCATCTGCCAGTGTTTATGGGGTCCTAAAACACAAACACAAATCAAAATTGCAAAACAATCAACTATTACCAGCTTTCAACATTATTTTCCAATTTGCAATTATTAAGGTAACATACCAGGGCAGGGCTTGTAGCCATTAGTCTTGTTAATTTGGTGGGTGCATCTATCCATATAATTACTGAAACATGTGCAAGGACACTGAAACATCCAAAAAGAAAAACATTTCTCCATGTATTACATGTACATGTACAGCCAATATGTTGATTACTTTCTAATACCAATAGTCAAAACACAATCCACTTACATCAAAGATAGCTCTGATTTCATAATAAAAATAGAAAAACTTAGACCTCAAGCAGAATGCATAATGGTCAGTTATGATGTAACATCCCTGTATACAAATATGCAGTTCAACGAATTACTCACAGCTGTCAGTGAAGCATACACTAAATTCAACAAAGGAGAATTTAAAATTCCTTCGCCACCTACAGAAGATCTTCTGTGGTTGTTACAAACAATATTAGAAAATAATGTCTTTGAATTTAATTCTTAGAAATCTAAACAAATTATAGGCTGCACAATGGGCTCAAAATGCAGTCCTGAAGTGTGCGATATCAGAATGTATGAAGTCACTTCGGAAATTCTAAACAAATTTCCATTTCAACATAATATTGTTTATCACGGTCGATATCGAGATGATGGATTTATAATCTATCATGGGGAAATGGATGAAATTCATCAATTTTTCCAAATAGCAAATTCACATCATCCTCTTTTAAAATTCACATATGAAATTTCTGACAAAGAAATGAACTTCCTTGACATCACCCTATTTAAGGGAGAAAGGTTTGAATTAGAAGGAATTCTTGATGTCAAAACTTTCATAAAACCTACTAATACTTTCCAGTATCTGGAACGCAATAGTGCACATAGCCCTTCTGTTTTCAAGGGAATCATTAAAGGCAAAATCATTCGTCATTTACGCAATACTAGCGATTCTAATATTTTTCACAATGCGATCGAAGTTCAAATTTTCTCTGTTGAACAGAGGATATAATGAAAGTGAGATTAACAGTTCAATGAACAATGTTCTAGAAAATTACAAAAGAGACCATTTAAATCAAAAAAAGAAAGTTAACAGTAATTCTGATATACCATTGGTCATGGTTACAAAATACAACCCAGCCATTAGCAATATCAAAAAGAAATTGCTAAAATACTGGCACACTCTATCAGGAGAGCCCTCAAAGATATATTCAAAGACAAACCAATTATAGCATATAAAAAACACAGGAGTTTAGGAGATCTAACAAGTTCAAAACTTTAAAAAAAGTTAGTATAGCCTCACTTACTGGTCAATTACAATGTAATCAACCATATCATTTACTGACATATCTCAGTCAGAGACAGTTAACAAATTATCGCTTTCTTGCATATTTATTTACACAAACAACTTTCATCTGTGTTTATTATTTAAACATTACGTGACCTTGGGAAATTCCCTTACCGGTTCTACTATTTAATAAGAACATACCGGTATATAATAAAACAAATAAAATGAATATACAATATTGATATATATAAGTGGATTCCTGATGATGGTGGACTTATATAACTAATTAAAATTAGTATAGAATATCTATTTATTGCTTGGCCTGTTATCACACCGCCGAAACACTAAATTAGTGTCGGATCTAAGTGAAAATGAGGTTCGTGGCTTGATGGGAGTCACTTTTTTACTACAAGTCAAATCTAAATACTGTGGACGACAGGACTTTAAAACACTGTGAGATTGGAGAGTTGAGTTGGCCAAACTAAATTTACAATATAATGGTTAAGGTGAGGACTGCTAAATTTACTTCTCAATCCTCTTGGTATTTAGTATTATGATTACCCGAACAGTGTGATGATAAGATTGAAGAAGTATAGGTTTTGCATGTCTGTGATAAAGGGCAAAACAAATGCATTCCCTGTCAAAAAAGACAGCAAAAAAACACCCTCTCTTCAGTAACAAACATTTAAGGAAAGCTGTCAATGTGACAATAAACTGGGTTTTCTTTTGTGTGAACATGCTGATGTTTAACTGGTAATTGCCCCATAAATGATCAAAAATCAAAGTCAAAGTACCATTCACATCTTTGATAGATGTACAATTGATCCACAAAATAAAAAATATTTTGAAAACTGTAGGTGAAGTTATCCAGACAAATGTTTTTTTTGTTTTGTTAGCCATACACCATTTTCACTATTCCTTCGGAAAACCCAGCTAAAAACTCTCTGAGGAGTTAATAGTGATGAATGTAAGCAAAAAAAACACAGAACATTCCCTGACAGTTATTCCTACCTGACAAATGTTTGTCTGAAGATGATCACAAACAGAGCACATCTCCGTACAAGAACAAGCTGCCTACAAAAATACAGAATAAGATTTTCTAATAACAAAAGAGGAGATAAACGTGTAAATTCAATACATAAACATGCATTTCAAAATATAAACTGAAGATTTAAAATTACTTCAAAGACACAAGTACTGCAATAAAATTTTTCACCAAACAAAAAAAAGAGTAAATGAAAGACAGCAATAAACTGTCTGGTCTCTTTCAAGTTTACTTTTAAAGATTGCAGTGTACTATTTTGTATACCTGTGTGGTATGGCACATGGATAAGGGTTTGTAGATGATAACATACAGGTTGGATTTGTTGATAGGGATCAGCTGGAAGTCCAGGCAAGGATCAGAAGAACCTGGATCAACCACCGATCCAGAGGTGTCCAGTGAATAACTCAGATGGGAGTGACCAGACAGAACATCACTGCACCAGTCTATCTAAAGTAGGAATATTGTTGTAAATATTGTACATCATGCATTCAGAATGAACAAGATGTGTTTGTGAAACACTATGCCCCCGATGGTAACACAATTCTGGAGTGGGACGTAGACTACAGTGCAATAATTATGGCCAATGTTAAAGTTTTTCAAATGTAGGTCAAAGATCACAGTTGAGGTCACATGATCAAAAATTTCTGTACCAATGGAAAGGTCTTGTCAAAATGAACACTCATGTCAAATATTAAAGCCTTACCCTTGACAGCGCAATAGTTATGGGCTAGGTTAAAGTTGACAACAGACAGATAGACAAACAGACAGACAGAACAAAAACAATATACCCCCAGGATCTTTCGATCCAGGGGCATAAAAATTTTTGAAGCAATTGATGCCAACTTACAGTGGGTTTGCATTCTTAGCATTTTTCAAAACTATTTATTAATTATTCTCTCACATGTGTATGCAGGAAAAAGTTTCAAATGGTATTAAATTATTAGAAAACATAGTGGAATAGGACAAAATTACCATTATTCAATGTCAAAAATGAGCTTAAAAGCAATTCTACAGCAAGAGTTGAATCAATGATACAATGTAGAAATTAACTCTGCACATTATTATATGCACATCCCAGTGTTTAATGCATACATTCTTAGACATCCCGGGAGTCCGATGCCTGGGACCTGGTAAAGTTGGAAATGAGCATGTGGAAACTGCATACTAACAAGCCCAAAGGGCATGCAAAAATTCGAAGGCTTATAAGAGGTTTATAACAATATACATCTGCTTTTGATTCAAATGATCAATTCACTCACCCTGTATTTCATTTTCATTTGTGTATAACATAACACACCAAATCAAATAACATCAGTAACATTAAATGTAACTTAAAAGGGTTTGTAAAATTTTAACGACAGGTTAATCTACTTTCTAAGAAACTCTTTGCGTTGGAGGCACAAAAAGCATATAGATTGAAAATAATGGTGTGGCAATAGATGCTCTCGGAGAAATGGATTTCCTTGGCATGGAAAGGCAAATAATAATAAATTCTTAATAAAAGTCTGGGCATGTAAATATTTGTTTGGGCTTTGTTTGTTATAATTGGATACACCTGCCCGAAGGGCATGTGCTGAAAAAATGCTATTATTAATTTATACTAGTGAGACCTATACTAACCATCAGAAGACCTTTTTGTAAAAGCCAGTTTGCCACCCAAGGTAAAACTTCAGTCAGATGGGCAGACATCTGTACTGGTCCAACATTGTCTAGCTTCATCAAGATGCTCCTAAAATCAGAGGTCAAAGTCTAGTCAGTCTTTTCTATCCCTAGACTTCCAAAGAAATGTTGGTGATATATTTACTACACATATCTACTTTTAGACATTACATTCCTACTAAAATGTTGAGGTTATTAAAATCTTTTAAGGATATCAAAATACATGAATATGATTGATTTTTAAATAAATGTAAAAATTAGGGATGGCAACCGAATACAGAATTGCTAATTGGTTATAAGCAAGAGGTTCCGATCGATTAATCGGTTAATCGTATCAAAATACACATTTTCCTGATATTATATTTTTTTTCAAGTAAACTCTAGGTATATACACAAGAAAACCGAAAAATATGCTAGTAATATTCATTTACTGCTGTATTAGTACACTTTATATGATATTCTATTTTAATTTAGAAAGGCAAGAAAAAAGGTAACCATGAAACACCTCATAGATATCAAAGAAATTGATAATGTTACAGCACAAGGTCGTTGTGCATTGTCACCATAAACAGAAACGGAGTCTGAACTGTCACATAATTTACAATGTTTGTTTAAAAATATAATTTGACAGGTAACTGCGAAGGATAGACAGGGTAAGATACACATTGCAATCATTTAAATCATTTAACAGAACTCAACAAAGATTTATTTAATATCATTAAAGAAATTTAGGACAGTCTGGGTAACAACATGGTGTTCAAATAGCGATTAACACTTCGCAGAGTGACCAATTACCCCAATGATTTCAATTTTGAGAGTCTTAATTATTTACCTTCAAATCAAATTAAATGTGAAAACATCATAACTTATCAATATTTAGAGGGTTTTTAAACATTGTAAATCGAGTTTTAAGGAAATTTACACGTATTTTATTTTTTTTTCCCAACTAACCGATTACAGATTTTCTAACCGATTACCATCGTTCTGACCGAGTAACCGGTTAACGATTACAAATTGCCATCCCTAGAAAAAAATCTTTATATATGTTCCAGTATATTTTCTTCAAAATCAAAATGCCTCCGTATAAAGCAGCAATTCATCTGAGACTTTATTAGTTTTTCAAACTTCAGTGTTGTTTGATGCCAACCCTTCATCATCCATGATTATCCACGCTGAATTCTGGCTAATGTTTCTGAAGACAGCATTATACAGAAAAGCCATCAGATGTTGAACTGTGATGTCTGCAGCTACTACTCCATGGACCAATTTACTGAAACCAAGATGCAATTACTCAATTACTGCTATGTCAATCCCACTTCCCTTGACTTGAGAGTTTAATGAGCTAATGAATTACCACCTCAACATGAAGATTTACAAAGAGATGGATCAATAATTAGATGCATCTGTGTGTGAAGTAGACACAATCTTTCTGCATTTATCCATGAATTGTCTGGAAGTTAACTGTGGAAAACACACACTTAACTAAAATGTATGACAATTGTAAAATGGTGCTTTTAAGAATAGATGGATGCATTATTTAGTGCATTTTTAAAGGTAATCACTGTTTTCTGAGTGGTCCAGACAAGGATTTTATACATAGAGGTTTTCTGACCTTGAATTTTTGTCTAGAAAACTGGGTACTCTAATGGTGAAGTTTGAGCCTTACTGAGCCATGGGGAGAGAAAATACGCTCCAGACAAGGATTTTACAAGGTCAAGGTCACTGCACACCCTCTGACCATGGGTACTCAATGGATGAAGTACGAGCCTGACTAGGTCAAAGGAAGAGAAAATATACTCCGGACAAGGATTTTTATACTTAAGAGATTTTTTGACCTTGACCTTTTATTAGAAAATTGGTTCAAGATTACTGTACACCCTCTACCCATAGATACTCTATGGGTGAAGTATGAGCCCAACAGGGCCAAGAGGAGAGAAAATATGATCTGGACAAGGATTTTAAACACTGAGAGAAATTCTCTGACCTTGACCTATGGTATACCAATTGGATTAAAGGTCACTGCACACCCACTACCCATGGGCAATCTATGGATGAAATATGAACCTGGCTGGGCTATGTGTAGAGAAAATATGCTCCACACTAATGAAATTAGAAGAATGGAAGGATGGATGTTCAGAGACAGACTGATCACTACAGGGCACCTGCAGAGAGGGGCCCTAATAAAATCTATGAAATCAAATAATAAGAATACTTCAACTTTTTATGGAAACTCACACTTGCATGTCTCTTTTTGTCGAATATATATATATATATATATATGCAAACACAAATACATACAAGAACGTTTACATATTTGAAGTTCTGAACAATTTTTTGTGAATGATAACTTAACATTTTTTACCTGGTTTGGTGAAATGCTTTAGCCAGGGTGACGATAGATATATTCTGGTCGGGGTGGGCAGTAAACATGTACTTATGGGACTGACTGATGGCTGCTGTGTACCAGCGGTCCTCTCTGGGGTCATACAGGATGTCAGGTACCAGGGTCCCAGGGAACACCTTAAACACACCGTTCTCTGTCCCCATGTATCTGTAAATAGAATCAACACTTGTCAAACTCTCAACATGCTCTGAAGATCACTGTATAGGCATTAGGAGTTAAAATGAAATCTATCAATTCTGAATAACTTATATTCAGTAATTTTGGTTTTGAGAATATTTGGCAAATTTGATATCAAATAAAAAGAAGTTGAAATATAGGCATTTTGTATTTGGGAGGATTTTCACTTTAATACTCTGTATAAACTTTACAGAAATATTGGGGATATATTATTTATTTAATAAATGAATAAACTTTATGGAAATATCAGGATTTATTTTTGGGTTTGTTTTTTTTTTTTTGATCCACCATTCTCTATCCCCATGTCATGTATCTGTAAATAGTCAAACCTCGTTATCTCGAACTCAAAGAACCAAAGATATCCAGGGTAAAATACTTAAGGAATAAGCAGTTTGTACATTAAAATGACTTCAACATATCCATGGTATTCGAGATATCTATGTTTGAGATACCGAAGTTCAACTATAGCTAACTTTTGCAGCATGTCAAAATTACCTGATACAGAGTATCAGAAAAGCATAAAATCCTACATTCTATTCTTTGCATTAAATTTTTTATTATTTTGTGGCTGTTCATTTTTGGTATTTCCACTGGGTTCACAGGTGTGTAAAAGTCAGTCAATATATCAGGTCTCAATAGCTCAGTGGTTAGAGCGCTGGCACGGTACGCCAGAGGCCCTGGGTTCAAGTCCCGGTTAAGACTTGATTTTTCACCATCTGCGACAGTAGTTTTCATCAAAAGTATTAATCAGTATTTTAACAACCTTGTCAAAAGAATTAAAAGCAAACAGCATGACTGTCAATCAAGACAAAAATCAGGTGCCTCAACCAACCATCAAAATCTTATTTCTTAGTCTTTGATTTCACATGACACAATTCTATTTTAACAAAATTCTAACAAAATCCCAGCTATACATGTATATCAACTGTTTCCAAAAACAGCACATGTATCCCTTTTTGTATATATTCTGTGTGTTTTACCTCCATATAGCATCAGTTGGTATTTTCCAGTGTTGATCAATTTTGTTCATCAACAAAACATCACCAGCAACAGACTCTGTCACACCTGAAAAACATAACAGTTACTATTAAATCAAAGATGATGAAATATGAAATAAGATGTAAAGAAAACAGTAGGATATGTGCTTTTATGCAATCAATAACTGCTTATCAATGTATTTTATTTCAACATCTCTAATCAATACATTAGGTACATCTGTCATATGGTGAAAATTTTAAAATCAGGACCCTTAATTCTTTGAACTTTCAGTAAATCTGCATTGAGCAGTCATATATAACAAATTAAACAAACATAATTTCTGAAATCTTAAATTTTTTTTTTTAAATATGAATGTTTCCCCCTAAAAACAGCACCTAACCTGCATGTTGGGAGAATCCTGTTGTGTTTTTGAAGGTACTGTGGGCATCGGAGTAGCTTTTGTTTTGTTCATACATCAGACTCTTCTCCAAGTCCCAGAAAGAGCCAGGGGCAAACTGCAAATCAGATAATAATCTGTTTATCTACTAAATATCTATAATAACAGCTAATTGTAAAGGTTTGATCTGTACACTGAATTATGTGTATAGGACTGGCATTCAATATCTCAACTTTAAAGAGTCTTTTATGACATTTTTCTGCAAAAGAGCAACATACAGTAAAACCTCATTATCATCTCAAACTCAATGGGACCAAGAAAAAGCTTCGAGATATCCAAGGATGCGAGATATCCAGGGTAAAATACTAAAAGAATATGGGGGTTGTGGTTGCCAAATCACTTAGACATACCCATGGTATTTGAGATATCAGTGTTCGAGATACCGACATTCAACTGTATCATTACTTTTACTATGTTTACAACAGGGTTGTCTCTAAGACCCGGCGGCCGGGGAATTTCCCTGCCTATAATGATGTAATCCCCCGGTTATTTCGGTATTCCTCTTAAACTCCCCAGTAAGGGAGGAACCCCAGTTCCCCTTCTACTTTTTAAATGTCCCCTTCTATTTCAATTCTTAGGGACAACCCTCTCCCAATAGATTTTGAAAAATACAAGTAACTACCAGTAGTAAGAATTATGTCCTCAGACTATTGTTATGTAATTCCCAAAGTACATTTTCGATTGATACATTTTACATGAATCAAACTTTAAAAAAAAAGATCTATAAATACAACTTTTCTCATATTAACAGGATCCAAACGTACAATTATTGGGTTGTCTCTCATTACACAATGTTAATGAATGTTGAAATGTTTTTTACTGCAGTAACATTTCATCTATCTTTAAAAACTCTCTTTCAAAACAGAACATTCAATGTCAATTAAAATTCAACATTACATTTGGAAAAAAAAAATCATTGTCTCTTTCCCCAAAGCTAGATTACAGACAAGATACTGTAACGTACCTATTCCATAACAAGTACGGTAGTCTATAGATCTGCAGTTTCCACTCTGTCATTGTAACATTAAGTCAACCTGCTGCTGTTGACAACACCCACATTGTAGCATTGGCTGGGATGACCAGTGGTCCTACTTGATTGTAGCATTGACTGGGATGACCAGTGGTTCTACCTTGATTGTAGCATTGGCTGGGATGTCCAGTGGTCCTACTTGATTGTAGCATTGGCTGGGATGACCAGTGGTCCTACTTGATTGTAGCATTGGCTGGGATGACCAGTGGTCCTACTTGATTGTAGCATTGACTGGGATGACAAGTGGTTCTACCTTGATTGTAGCATTGGCTGGGATGACCAGTGGTTCTACCTTGATTGTAACATTGACTGGGATGACCAGTGGTCCTACTTGATTGTAGCATTGACTGGGATGACCAGTGGTTCTACCTTGATTGTAGCATTGGATGGGATGACCAGTGGTTCTACCTTGATTGTAGCATTGGCTGGGATGACCAGTGGTTCTACATTGATTGTGGCATTGGCTGGGATGACCAGTGGTCCTACTTGATTGTAGCATTGGCTGGGATGACCAGTGGTCCTACCTTGATTGTAGCATTGGCTGGGATGACCAGTGGTTCTACCTTGATTGTAGCATTGGCTGGGATGACCAGTGGTTCTACCTTGATTGTAGCATTGACTGGGATGACCAGTGGTTCTACCTTGATTGTAGCATTGGCTGGGATGACCAGTGGTTCTACCTTGATTGTAGCATTGGCTGGGATGACCAGTGGTTCTACCTTGATTGTAGCATTGGCTGGGATGACCAGTGGTTCTACCTTTATTGTAGGATTGGCTAGGATGACCAGTGGTCCTACTTTGATTGTAGCATTGGCTGGGATGACCAGCAGTCCTACCTTGATTGTAGCATTGGCTGGGATGACCAGCGGTCCTACTTTGATTGTAACATTGGCTGGGATGACCAATGGTCCTACCTTGATTGTAGCATTGGTTTGGATGACCAGTGGTTCTACTTTGATTGTAGCATTGGCTGGGATGACCAGTGGTCCTACTTGATTGTAGCATTGACTGGGATGACCAGTGGTCCTACCTTGACTGTAGCATTGGCTGGGATGACCAGTGGTTCTACCTTGATTGTAGCATTGGCTGGGATGACCAGTGGTTCTACCTTGATTGTAGCATTGGCTGGGATGACCAGTGGTTCTACCTTGATTGTAGCATTGACTGGGATGACCAGTGGTCCTACCTTGATTGTAGCATTGACTGGGATGACCAGTGGTCCTACCTTGATTGTAGCATTGACTGGGATGACCAGTGGTCCTACCTTGATTGTAGCATTGGTTGGGATGACCAGTGGTCCTACCTTGATTGTAGCATTGGCTGGGATGACCAGTGGTTCTACCTTGACTGGGATGACCAGTGGTCCTACCTTTAGTGTAGCATTGGCTGGGATGACCAGTGGTTCTACCTTGACTGGGATGACCATGGTCCTACCTTTAGTGTAGCATTGGCTGGGATGACCAGTGGTTCTACCTTTATTGTAGCATTGACTGGGATGACCATTAGTCCTACCTTGACTGTAGCATTGGCTGGGATGACCAGTGGTCCTACTTGATTGTAGCATTGGCTGGGATGACCAGTGGTCCTACCTTGATTGTAGCATTGGTTGGGATGACCAGTGGCCCTATCTTTATTGTAGTATTGGTTGGGATGACCAGTGGTCCTACCTTGGTAGTAGCATTGACCTGCATGACCAGTGGTCCTACCTTAATTGTAGCATTGGCTGGGATGACCAGTGGTCCTACCTTGATTGTAGCATTGACTGGGATGACCAGCGGTCCTACCTTAATTGTAGCATTGGATGGGATGACCAGCAGTCCTACCTTAATTCTAGCAATGGCTGGGATGACCAGTGGTCCTACCTTAATTGTAGCACTGACTGGGATGACCAGTGGTCCTACCTTTATTGTAGCATTGGCTGGGATGACCAAGGCCTGGTTGCGCTCACACACCCCATTGTGATCCACCACTGAGGTGTTGATAAAACCTTGTCTGTGATACAGAAAGTCGGGGAAGCTCTTGGAATCTGCATTCTACAAATAAATATCAGTAAGGATGTTAAATTGAAAGCAACTTTTTTCTGGTCTATGCATTCCAAGATGGTTTAATTCCTTTTCTTTCATATTCATTGACAGTAGACAGTAAAACCATTTCTAGTGAACATGTCTAAAGTGAATACATGTGCAACTCATTAATACCAGGTCATATTTTATCATTACAAAGTTTTAAATTTACATTCAAAAAAAATTATGAAATGTTCATTAACAGAATAAACAAAGCATGTATAAAGCAACGTGGATATTAGAAGCTCCCCACGGTTCACTTTCATCTTTTATAGTAAATTAGAGAATTTCTAATTGAGCATATCATCATTCAAATTAAATAATAGTAGCTGTGTTAGTACTGTCAGTTTTCTTCTCTTTTTTTTATCATTTTTTTTTACCCTTTTCATTTTTTTTTCTAATTTTAATGTCAATAATTGTCACTAAAAATATCTACATAACTTGAAGCAGCAAAATGAGACTATCACAAAGGATTTTCCCTTGGAGGAAAAAAAACCCTGAAAATTAATAAGTTGTTCAATCTGCTGGGAATTAAGAACAAATTTATCTATACATCAGTGGGTAAGGACTGAGACAGCTAAATGTCAGTAGGATCTTGTACCAGGAAGTGAGTGAGATTTCACCTGCAGCGTTTTCTGTCTGGTGTCGTCTTGGAATATCACCAGGACTACGGTGAAGTTACTACTGAATCCAGACAGAGGCTTGTAGTAACACACTGCTTTTTTTAGTATCTGTGCTACAGACTTCTGAAGGAAAAACAAATATTGATAATTAAAAAAAATTCAACAAAATTTTGTAACAGCAATATATATAGAAACAAATACCACACCTATACATGTTCGTATAGATAATAGTGTTTACATACATGGAAAATCCCTGACTCTCGTAAATCTAGCATCTTTGAAATCCATCGATATTTTAATATGAATGCTTATTTTAACATGACTGCTCCCCATAACTGGGTGTACATGATGGTATATTTCAGTTTGTTTAATCAAACAAGCTTATACACTCATAAACCACTCTGTACTCAACAGATTTATGTTTTTCCCCAATATCTTATTTAATTAATGTACATAAAATTGCATTCACTACAAAGGTTTATGTTTTTCTTGTTTCACAAAAAAAAAGCAAGCATGTCAGTTCTCTTAATCAAAGGATTATTAAAGCAATAACAAAACTACATTTTCCCCTTGAAAATTGATGGGCATTTAGTCTAATGAGTTAAGCTGCCAGTCCAGGGATAAATAATCTCCATGTGACCAGGCATACATGAACATCCTGGACGTTGTGTATAACAGGAGAGAACAGTAAATTGGTTCCCACTCCTCCTGATACATGCATTAACAAAAGAAGGAATAAACTACTCAAGTTGAACACTAACTACGTGTATTACTCTACAATCATTGGTATCCAAGCCAATATCAGAAACTTACAAATCTAATTATGTAAAACTAAAAGGCTAACAACTAAGGTATTTTCTCATAGGTTTTTTTGTGCAGTTGTCTACCTTGATAACCTCTTGACCTTCCAGTCCATTGGTAATGTTATAAATAGCAGCAGGTGACAGTCTAGGTTCAAGCTGGTCCACTGTGTAGACTTCCAGGTCTTGACCACCTACCGCCAACTCTGGGTGGACATACACAACACCTACACACAGACAGACACACCTTAACAAATGTTCACTTGCCAAATAAATCTTCTGTGAAAAGTAAAGCTAAATTATATTGTCTTCAAGAAACATTAGACATACAGAAAGTAAAACTTTGTTTTAAAGAAGTCACTGGAAATTTAAATTTTGCTTCCCTTAAACATACACTGTACATATAGTAAAACTTGGTTAGAGAGAAGACACTAGAATTTTGAATATTGCTTTCTTAAAACCAAGATTCTTTATATTCATGTTAGGAATATAATGCAAAGTCTTCTACAAGATTCATAGAATATTCCTTCCAACTATAAAGAGTTCTGTATAACAAAGTTGTACTGATTTTTACCTGAATTCCCTACTAAGAAGGCATAGCTGTCTGTACCAAGATGAAAATGAGCTACTTCATAGAAAGTCAACTCCAGGTGGACATCTACAGCTGTGACCCCAAAGAATTCTCCACTGCTGTTCAGGGTTGGTAAACTAAGAGTCATCTTCAGACCTTCAAAGAAGAATTTTATCAATATCAATATTCACTTATTTATTTAGTTTTGTCTAAGAAAACCCAACATGAATATTTTTCCAATTACAAAATATATGAAAATATACCAGTACTCAACAAACCAGAAGTCTCTGGTGCAGCTGTAGCTCAACTGGTCAGTACTTATAAAAGTGTACCAGAAAAGTTGCCATTAGTCGTGTAGCATTTTTTTTTTATCATACACTCATAGAATCATCATATCCTGGTGCTTTCAAAACTTGCACTATATTAACTAGGAGGAGCATTTTCAGGAGGAGCATTTTTAAAGCATTTCACAGAATATTCCTTCATGTCAATATTATCCACTAGATGACCCTAGAACTGTTGGGGATCCACACACCTGTATTGGGCTCCCTCTGGGGGACACTGAATGTGACACTGGAGCCATTGACAGCTTGGAACTGGGAATAGTACTCCCCCATGATCCTGACCAGTTTCTGTCCATCAGAGTTGTCAATAAAGGACACATTTCCTACTGGTCCTGCTGGCTTGTCATTGTCTTGCTGCTTTGACAGTTTCTGCAAAAAGAAATTAAAAAAAAAGAAGAATTTCTTGAAACTGCAAAAAAGTCCTAACATACAGCTACATGTAGGATTATATCTGAATATTGCACATCTAAACCTGCATAACTAAAAATAAAACAGTCAGAAAGACTTGGTTCAAGTTTATACCTATAGCATCATTCAGTTCTTATCAAATGAGATCAGTGATACTGAGAATTTCAAGACTTACGGGCCACTTCAGATCCTTCTGTGGTCCAAATCTGTTGTTGAGAATGAGGTTGTTCTGATCTGCCAGTTGTATCAAGAAATGTTTGGGAGTGTTTGTGTTTTTTATTTCATCTCCTAAGGCATACACAAACACATGGACTGAGTGGTTCTAAAGAAAAAAAAAGCAATATATTTGACATCTCAAAACAGGATGTTTTAAGGCAAGTTTGGATATAATTGGCCCAGTGGCCATGGAAAAGAATTCAAAAATGTTAGAAAATTACATAAAATGGGGAAATGTGAATAACAAAAGGTCCCAAGGACCTAATAAAAGAGTAAAGCTGAAAAGCAGAGGTGATACTACAGGCACTAGATTCCAAAATTCTTACATAATATGTACTTTGTATCATCATTATTCCTGGGGGACTTATGTTCATAGATTTCATGGATAACTACTCCCACAAATTTATATTCCCAAGAAAAATAACTTTGTCAACAAATCAGTTGAATCTCCTGACAGTGTATAAATATGTTTTCCACAGCACTGCATCCCCACAAACCAGTAAAATGAAACATTGACACCCATCACAAAGTAAAATGATTCCATAGTATTTAAATTTTGCATGTACATCTTTCAAATGCTCCATTTTTAAAATATACTCAAGTCTGTATCAGACATTCCCATATTACACAATCTTTTTTATTGTAACAATCTTTGAAAATTACTGATCTCACTTTTCAATATTTACCATGAGGGCCTGTCCTCCAGCAAGTTCCTCAAGAATGTCCTCAGGTGTGTCCTCAGGCATACCATCAGTGAGGAACAAGATCATGTCTAGAGAGTCCTCAAACTGCTTCTGTAACAATCATAACAGAAAATATAATGCTGGCAGTGGTCATAAACAAAATTTTACCTGAGACAAACTCTCTATGTGAACTTTATGAAAGCAATTGAGTTAAAAACTTTCTTCCCTTGTACATTTTGCAGGTATAAGCCCCGAACAAAAATACATCATCAAGCTGCAATTCTTACTGGAGTTCGTGATATGTAACAAGTACTCAACAATATATACATCAAATTACAGTTGAACTTTGGTATCTCGAATACCATGGATATGTCGAAGTGATTGGGAAGTCCTAACCATGTATTTCTTAAGTATTTTTAACCATCAATATCTCAAACCCTCAGATATCTCGAAGTCTCGACACAAGAAAAGATTTAGTTGTGGATTTGAAACAAATATGGAAGACTTTTTCAGTCTTGGATGCTTTGCATACATTGTGAAGTTACAGAGCTCTATAAAATTATTTGTTCATGATTGGGTATACTACCTGGCAATATGCATTTAAAAATGTATCCTTTGAGTGCAGTTATCAAGGTTATAGCTATAAAATTATTTTTACATGATTGTGTATACTAATATAGATAAAAAATTATCCTTTGAGTTTAGACAGTTACAGCTATAAAATTAGTTTTTCATGATTGGGTATAATAATAATAGATTAAAAAACAATTATCCTTTGAGTTTAGACACTTTTTCTCATGATCTATAATAATAACTGTAGATTCATCACGCACAACAGCTTTATTTTTGAGATTTGTGTGATAAATCCACAGAACAAAAATATTATCACATTTTACTCTTCATCATAAATACAAGACATGCACTCAGACTAAAAAGAAAAAAAATGATCCCCGGCATTCATGAAACTCAAGTGGCTCTAATAACACCAGTAAGTTCAAACATAAACATCTATCAACACATGATCAACACAATTTATTAACAGCATCTATATAGTCTAGCCTACTATTCAACATTGTATAATTATGTACTTTATATATGCAACAAATATTTTACTTATGTCATATACAAGAAATCAATGACTGTGTGTATAATGATTGTATTAAATTGAATACATTTGACATATTATTTTCCTCCGATAAACTTCCAGTTATTTCTCCTTAAGGACCCCAAATTAAACATCAGGTGATGTTGATAACAATTAATTGTGATATCAGGAAGAATATCAAACCAAAGTGATAAATATCAGGGTTTGGAGATAAAATACCTAAGTTTATTTCATAGTAATCAATGGAGGACAATGACAGGTTGTTGTTTTTTTCATTCCGCTGTTCTGCAATTTGTATAGTAATGAAATTGTTTAAACATTATGCCATATGTATAATTTATTTATGCATGACAGCAGCATGCTCATTGTTTTGAAAAGTTTTAATTATTATTTAAGAGGCCCATGAGCAGTAATATTGATCCTCACACTGTTCTTTCATAGAAAGTTCATGTAAAATATATTAAACCACCATAAAGTAAACTTTACAGTGAACTGCTAGACTCAGCTGAAACTAGAAATATGTCCATAGGACATGAATGCACCGCCAAGGGTATATGATCTTAAATTCACTGTCAAGGAATTTTTGTTACATCACTCAAAGCTTTGTGTCCAATATTTCAGACTTAAGATATCACTCTAAAAATTGTTGCAAATTGAAGATTGGTATCAGGACCAAGTCACCTAGGAAGGCCGAGATAGTTGCACTTGAAACAATTAAAATACAATTAAAATTTAATTCATTAATATTGAGTGATGTAACGGAGACACTTCAAGTTTAATTCAAATTAATTAATTACAACTGAATTATATCTTACTTGTGACACTCATTTTTGCCCCTTTATAAACAAATTTTCTGTCCATTGTTCTCATTTACACTCAAATCTAAAGACTAATACATAAAAAGATCACCTTCTGTTTCAGACGTAACAGGACACAAACTTCAGCACACAGAAAAGAAAATTTCCTCCAAAATTAAAATTAATTGAACAAATTTTTTATTAAAGGATTTGCACTTACATTTGGGCATTTTTTGGCCAAGTTTGCATAATCATATGGCAAAGGAAGAAAATTATATGCCTCATTTCAACATATAGAGATGTAACACTGGACACTGAAGCCTTCCAACAAACTTTTTTTTTTAATTTACTTAATTGTTAAGTTTTTACTTTGAATCAGATCACAGGAAACTTTAAGAAAATTTTAACTTAATAAATAAGTAAACAATTGAACAAATTTTCAGTTTTATTTAAATAATATACATTGTATTGTATATGCCCCTTTCTACACAAATGTCATTTTATCTTCTGTCAAGAGATCAATCTTGATCTTTTCCAAGTTAAAGAGTCACAGAAGTGATCAGTGGCCATTCTATGACCTGAAAAGAAAAGAAAAAAATGGTGAAAAGGTAGTTTGACAAGGATATTAAGATCTATACTCGTACTTTGATAGTGATGTAACACTGATCTCATGATATTTTCACAAATTTAACTTGGACACAAAAACTGGTGTCCTATGTTACATCATGTAATGAAGTTAAAGAATGACAGAACAATATATAATACATACTATTTCACTCAAGTTTATTGTGTGTTTTGCACTTCTTAAAACACCAATTAGGTATTTTTGTCAGAAGCCAATCAACAAAAAAATATGCACATTCATAAATAGTGATGTAACAATGACACATTCTGTTGTGGCTTAATAATCTTGTCAAAGTTACATCTTTTATAAATTTTCAGATATTTTCTAAAATTTTCTAAAATAGAGTTTACAATGGTTATTACTTGATACAATTAAATTAAGCTGAATCAGTTGAAATTTAATCACATGTAATTAAATTAACATTTTTGAATTAAAAGATTTAGGTAATACTTGATTGGGGGGGCGTGATGTAACTGTGGACACAATCAGTCCAACCATGGTGTGAAAATAAATAAGCATAATTCTTATATTAATGAAGCATAGTTCAATATTTACAGTTTATTAGAAAATTAATTCTTATTTCTTTGCAAACACGCAAATCTGGCATTATATATGTTTCAAAATACATCCTTAAATCGCCGAAAAAGATGAGGTCCCCCAAAAATGAGAGACGTAACATGTAAATGACCTACCTACTACTCGCGTCTCCTGTCATCTTTTTCTTGGAACTGATCCAACACGTGCACGGGTCTCACCAAAAATGAAAGTAGAGACCAGCATACAAACAGGATGTCTTCCTCTGGTCACCCGAGTATTTGATGTATGACACGTGTATACAGACGTAACGTTTTGACACGAAAATATAGATAAAATTATGATGATTATTTTTGAAATGAAACTTTCACATTTGAACACAGCCATAGTTCGTAAATCTTTTACGACGTCTCTAATTGCTATAAATAGAACATAACGATCGAAGTTTCCTTCGATTGTATCTGAAAGCGGCTGTGCGCGAGACGTAACAAAATTGACACGAAATGTTACATCCCCAAGCATAAAATTTAACCATTGTTTAATTTTAAAAATATTCAATATTTTTTTAACAAACCCAGTAAATTTAATAAATAAATTTGTATATAATAAACGAATCAAGAAAATTAAGTGGAATGATTTTATTTACTGCTGCTATTCCTTCATTTCTTCGGACCATATGAAAAAATGTCACAGAGATTGTCCACTGAATTGCATCAAAAACAATCATTACAAGTTTGATTATTCGCTTGACAATCATTAAAACATCATTAGTTATTAAATATGAGCATCAGAAAATTATTAAATAAGTTTATTCATCAAAGTTGTGAAAGAAAAAGAAATAAATGGTATTTTAGATAGACGTAACGAAAATTCCTTGACAGCGAATTTAGGATCATTAATAACGCAACATTTTAACACAAATTGAGAAAAGTAAGGTCAAGGTCAAAGGAAAGGTCAAGGTGAAAAAATATCGATGCAGTTAAATAGCTTACATCAGTATGTATCAGCATATGAAGTTTGACTCTAATTTAAGAAAAGTGAGGTCAAGGTCAAAAGAAAGGTCAAGGTCAAAAATTGTTGATGCAGTTGAAAAGGATACATCAGTATGTATTAGCATATGAAGTTTGATAAAAATATTATGAATGGTTTCTTTAAAACTGAGCCAAACACTAATTTAAGAAAAGTGAGGTCAAGGTCAAAGGAAAAGTCAAGGTCAAAAAATATTGATGCAGTTGAATAGCTTTTATCAGTGTGTATCAGCATATGAAGTTTGACACTAATTTAAGAAAAGTGAGGTCAAGGTCAAAAGAAAGGTCAAGGTCAAAAAATGTTGATGCAGTTGAATAGCTTACATCAGTATGTATCAACATATGAAGTTTGATTACACTTTCTTGAATGGTATCTTTAAAACTGAGCTATACACTAATTTAAGAAAAGTGAGGTCAAGGTCAAAGGAAAGGTCAAGGTCAAAAAATGTTGATGCAGTTGAATAGCTTACATCAGTATGTATCAACATATGAAGTTTGATAAAAATATCTTGCCATAGTTTCTGATACTGAGCTTTGAACAGAGCTAAACGCTGACGGAAGGACAGAAGACGGACATGACAAACACTATATGCCCCGGCCATATTCATGGCGGGGCATAAAAAGCTTTAATATTTCATTATTTCTATTACAATATGTGTCCAGTAAACTAATCATTATTTTGCTGTTCTTGAAAAAACGCAGCTTTTTCATACACATGTATTCAAAATAATGTGCTTTTAAACTTGCTGTATTTCAAACCCTCCATCACAGCCCATCCTGGGCAAATTTCATTTTTTTCTTTCATTTTTCAATCAGACTAGGATTTATAATGCTATGTATATTTTATCAATTACTTCACATTATAACATCAAACAATATATCCATTATAATTATCAATCATTTTTTTGATATTTAGATTTATGCTCTACAATTCCTTTGGGAACACAGTCCAGGGGAGAGAACTTTGCATAAAGTTTGCAGAACACAAGGAAAGACTGAAATAGTATCACTATCCAGTCTGATTGGCCAATAATCTTATTTGACTATGGACATGAAGACCACAGTGTCTGCATCTATTCCTACTGAAGTTAAACCTCTATGGAGAATGGCCTGCATGGAAACACAAGTTTGGGTAAGCAGTGACAATGGAATCATATATAGATTTGGCTTAGATGGGTCTGTACGAGAAACTGTCACCTGCCCATGTAGATATGGGCTCGAAGACATCTCAGTGACCGGGCAGGGAGAGCTGGTATACAGTGATTTTAACAATAAAACTGTAAACATTGTCAGGCAAGGGAGAACGAAGACACTGGTTAATGTTCCCCAGAACTGGCATCCACGAGGACTGTGCTGTACCAGATCAGGGGACATTCTCCTAAACCTGTGGAATGGATGCCAAAACAAAATTGTTCGTTATCAGGAATGTAGACCAAAGCTAGAAATAGAAATCGGTGAAGATGACAAGCCCATCTTTAAATCAGGATCATCCCTGCTCTTTGTGGCAGAGAACAGCAATGAAGACATTTGCGTTTGTGATCTTGTTTCAAACACGGTAGTTGTTACGGATAAAACAGGAAGAGTGCGATTCCGATATGATGGTACACCAGCAAACAGGAAGAAGAGATTCAAACTTAGACAAATAGCAACGGACTCCATGGGTCAGATCATTGTGGCAGATGTAGGCAATAACTGTCTACACATTATAGATCAGAATGGACAGTTCTTGAGATGCGTGGACAACTGTGGACTAGAAAATCCTAGTGGATTGAGTGTGGACAGTGAGGGCAGGTTGTGGGTTGGAATGTGTGATTCAGGAGAAATTAAAGTGATCCAGTACATGTAAACAAGTCAATGTCAGTTAAGATGATTTGTCAATAATTATAAATCTTTCCTTTAGCATTCATTCTTATTACATGTATTTTCATGGCAGTTACAAAAAATGATCATGCTATCATATTTTAAAATGGCCAAATTACATTCTCTCTCTAGGCCCCTAAAATTTCAAAATGGCCCCATCATTTTATGAAAAGTAGGGCCAATGACCCCCCTCCCTTTTTTTTTACCTAATTCCATAAGGCACTGGGCATATGGGGACCATATCCATTTAAAATGGTCAGCCCCTGAACCTTACAATTTCTGTAAATGAAGCCAAGCCACTTTACCTACACAAGTATGTACACATGTACAAGACAGCAGGTAGTGTAAGACAACAGCTGAGAAAAAAAAATGGTTTGTCAAGAGTTGAGCTTTTTTGAATGGCCATGGTCCCTCCCAAGAAAAAATATTTCAGATATATTATAGACCAAAAGTGTGAAGATAATCGTGATCATTGGTTGGTCTACATGAAAACTAAAAAAAATATGATGGCTTTTTCTCACAACTGACACAGGCATCTAATGTTTCATAATCCTATACCAAGGAAACCAATTCCATTTAGTTAATCTGATTGTTCCTTCCATAATCAGACATTTTCTTGACAGACCTGTTGGAAAAATTCCGTAGCATGTCAGGGATAAATCTACTTACTGGATTTATTTGCTTGGAGTGGCTCAGTAGCTGAAAGGCCTTGGAAAATGCATTCCCATAATATGTGTTACCTAAAAAAATAAACTGCAACTTTTCAACAATGCCTAGGCAATAAACAAGCATGTACATTAAAATAGCAGCTTAATCTAAAATTACTGCTGACAGTTCTGGCAGCTAAGGAATCTTCAGCCTGTTTAAATGGTATATATTCGTCAATATCAAATAGGTTCAATTCAATATTGTTTAAAGTCCAAATCTCTTTGGTTTTAGAATTACATGTAACACTAAACATGTCAAAAAACAATTCTTGGTGTAGTAAACATCCAAGAAAACCTTATGAAAATAATGTTTCTGAAACCATGGAAACTCATTTAGAAACATGAACAAGAGGCCCAGGAGCCACATCACTCACCTGAGCACTGTGGCTAGGAAAAAAGGAAAAATCAGTTTAGTATCGAAAAGCTTAAATGCATTAGTGGTCCCAACCTACCCCTGAAAGGGAGTGGGGGGTATGATTTGAACAAAATTATATTTTTTGACTGTGATTTTTATCTCTACAAGTTTGAACTTTCATTGTGGCCCGACCATACCCCTGGAGGTCATGATTTGAACAAACTTGAATCTACACTATCTGAGGATGCTTCCATATAAATATAAAGATTTTTGAAGATTTTTCCTATATATTCCTATGTAAAACTTTGATCGTCCATTGTGGCCCCACCCTACCCCCGGGGGCCATGATCTGAACAAACTTGAATCTACACTACCTGACAATAATTCCACATGAGCTTCATCTTTCCTGGCCCATTGGTTCTTGAGAAGATTTTTCAATAATGCCATTAATTTTTTGCTATTTCGTAATTATCTCCCCTTGTAAGAGGGTGTGGGCCTTCATTTGAACAAACTTGAATCCCCTTCACCCAAGGATACTTTGTCCCAAGTTTGATTGAAAATTCAAATTGGCCCAGAGTTCTGGAGAAGAAGATGAAAATGTGGAAAGTTTACAACAACAACAACGACGACAACAGACAACGGACTTTCGATCAGAAAAGCTCACTTGAGCCTTCGGCTCAGGTGAGCTAAAAAGAGGTCAGAGAAATCACCAATGAATCTGAAACTGAACTGATTCAACTTAATTGCAAATATAGGAAAATTGTCAGTCACTCATAGAGTGATGTTTGTGAAACAATTCAAACAATATCAAGAATCAGTAATGAAGTCCAGTATGATTTTTCTCATTGATGTACAACCTTGCATTGGCAAAGCTTTGACTGAGCTTGACTTTTATCTACAACAATCATTGATTTTATTCTTGCGTGTCAAAAGACATTCCTAAAATTCAAAGTTATATAGGGACAGAAAAATTTAAGAAAAAATCCTCCTATCCCAATATTCAATTTAAGCGGTTTTTTTGTTAATTTTGTTAAAAATGCTGGCATGCAATGACCTGATGGTACAGAGCTGTTGATAAGTTCTTGTACAGAGTCCATGTTGTCGCTGGTAGCTGGCACCAACATATGAATCCCTTGACTGTTCTGGTGGGGAGAACACATGGACGACACTGCAGAACTGTTGAAAATGACCACGCCCACCTGTTAAGAAGAAGTACAAAGCAACCTTTTCATATTTATACTTTTAAATTGTCCATACATTTAACTCAATTTAGTTCAATTAACAGA